TTGGTTTAAATCTTATCTGTTAGACAGATCTTTTGCAGTGGTCATGGGAGTCAGGCTTCGTCTTCTGTTCTGTTATCTGTTGGAGCTCCCCAGGGCTCTGTTTTGGGTCCCCTACTGTTTTTTCTTTACACGTTGTCCTTAAGAAGACTCATCTGTTCTTTTGACTTTTCCTATCAAGACATGTGGCACCCTGGTCTGGAAAATGACACTGAAAGGAACTGGAGCAATGGTAACAGGGTTACTACAGTTCAAGTGGCAAGTGCATGAGTCAGCATTTGGAAAGCTGTGCCTCATGGGAGACCTGATGCAACATGCACAGTAGATGAGACTAGCCAGGTATGCATCATGGGAGGTCTGATGCAACCAGCAAGGTTTCATTAGTGCATGGTTGTCACATGTTCCCAAGAAGACCACCTATATATGGGAGAGGGTCAGAATCTCTGTTGTTGGTGAGTTGTGGTTGGTGAAGCACTTTGTTGGTCTGTATAGCTGTGAGTATTCAAGACAGATGTCTGATACTCTATATATCTTTGTAAATATTTGCAACAAAAATTAAAGCCCTCATTGAGTGAAGTCTCGCTGCCCAGCAATTCATTTCTCCAAGCTGAAAGCAGAAGCTGCGTGTGGGAGGATTTTTCCTGTGCTCTCTGAAGCAAGATTCTTCACAGAAGACCATCTCCTGGGCGTTTCTGCCTATGTCCATCAACTCTGCATGTGTGTCTGCTAGATTCGGTTTGTCTGCATACCCCAACAATCTTTCCACCCCTGACATTCCTTCGGGTCTTGAACAGCAAGTTTCATCTTGTCTTACAGCTGTCTCTCAGTGGTTGCACCATCGGTACTTGAAGCTCAGTATGTCTAAAACGGAGCTTCTTGTTTTTCCAACAAAGCCTACCATTCAATACTCCTTTTCTGTTTCTGTTGACGACATTTCTATTCGATCTGTCCAGGAAGCCCGCAGTCTTGGTTTTATTTTTGATTCTTCTCTGTCGTATATCTCCCAGATTCAGGCCATAGCCAAGGCATGTAGCTTCTCTTTGTATAATATTGCTAAAATCTGACCATTTCTCTTGGCTTCTACTGCCAAGATTTTGATCCATCCCCTAGTGGTATTGCGACTAGATTTTTGTAACTTCCTTCTGGCAGAGCTTCCTCTTTTTCACCTCTGTCCTTTAATTTCAGTCCAGCATTCTGCTACATGCATTATCACAT